GGATTCCTAGTATTACATTAGTTTCATGTGACAGAACTTACAAGAAATTCATTCAGAAAAACATCCAGTGTAGGAGTCTTTTTGGCATATCCTGTGCATATTTTCTCAAACAAGCAGCAATCATTTTTCAGTTGTGTCATTTATGACTGTTGCCTGTGTGCAGTCCTGTGGCTCTTTGCTAAGCCAGCAGGCACCCAAGCAACTTAGCAGTGTCATTTGGGATTTTAACATTACAGCACAAATATTTAAAGGAGTGGTCTTGGTAACTTCTTTTTCCTCCAAATTCCCCCTAAAACTGACCTTGTGAAAAAAAATACAAAAAAGGGGAACAACAGGACATCTGTTGAAAGGATAACTAAGAAAGGAAAGTTCCCAAGTCTTAATACTGGAGTAAATCAACCAATTCTAATGTTAAAATCTACCTGCTGGTGTACTCCTTTCTGAGTCAAGACAAATGTTAGCTGACTTGAACAAAAAATGGTGAAAAGATAACTATATCTCAAGTTCGAGGATTCCCTTATGCTCCTTTAAAAAAAAATTATGGATACATTTGCTGTTTTCTGATTTTAAAAACTTACAGAAAATACATAAACAAAAAGAAGAAAATTCTAACTAAAAAAAAATCACTGTTTGTGATTTAAATGTATGTCCTTTATGTAATCTATGCCTTCATCCAAACATACCATCCTATCTAATAAAAGGGTAATATGCAAATTAACTATCACTCCATCATAAAGATGGTGGCACCCATAGTAGCTAGGTCAGGACACTGGCATGTTGCCCCAGTGACATGAACACAGTGTCCAGCGCCCCGTCATCGCAGAGGGAGGAAGATGCCTTTGGCCAGAGGCTGGGGTGTGGGACACTGGTGTCATTGCAGGCCGGGCTAAGGGACCCCCCCTTACACCCTTGTGCACTAATTTTATGCACTGGGGCTCTAATTTAGCTATAATTCATTTGTAGTTTTGTGTTTGGATTTTTTATACTTCACATTATTTTGTAAACATCTCCTTAGGGTCATGATTTATTTTTTGGAAAATATTTCAATGACTGTATAATCTTCTATTTGTCATAAGTTACTTAATTCTGCTTATTATTGGATGCATAGTCTATTTTGAAATTTTCCCTGCTAATAAATAATATTGTGATGAACCTTATTGCACAATACTCTTCATCTGCATCTCTTATTTTTCCAAAGGAATTAGCCCAACAAGTGGGTTTTGATACACTTTACTAAACTGCTTTCAAACAGCTTGTACCAGTTGCCTCATCATCATCATTATCCTGTCTGACTTTGCCTCTAATCAGAATTTAGATATTGTCATATAAAAAGAAAATTTTGCCAGTCTATTGGGCCAAAATTACTTAATTTGCTTTTATTTGGTTAAAAGGGATTTTGAACATTTTCCCATTAGTTGGCTGGCAATTTGTGAATCATCTGTTCATGTCTGTCTATGCCTTTTGGCCTTTTTTGTTGTTGTTTTAGTATTAATGTTTTGTTTATTGAAATTAACATTTTTAAATATGGGAAGAAGTTGCACATTTTATCTTTAAAATTTACAGGCAAGAATATGGCTTTATACTTTCAGCATAAAAAGGCATTTAACATTTTTTTTTGTGGTTCTTAATTCCTGATATAGTGGTTTATATATGAGTCTGTAACTAGGTAAACAATTGATTTTTAGAATAATGCTATCTCTGTCATAGCTTCAGTTATACTAATAATCCTTTTCTGCCTTTTTATTCTTCCTTCTACTATAATAAAACTTAAAACATCTAGGCTTTTTATCTCCCTTTTTTCAGCTACACTTTCAGGTGGCTACCTGCCAAGGGAACCACAGTTTGAAAGAATCTCATCTGGGAACTGAATGGGATCACTAGCTGTAGTAGAAAGGAACAGTTGAAGAGAAAAAAAGGGAAAGCTTCTGTTTATGCCAAGAAAAGAAGGGGCTTCCCGGTGCCAGCTCAGTGAGCAGGTTAGTTGGTGAGGGCTCAGGTCCGGAGCCCAGTTCCTGACAGTTCACTCTCTTCTGCCCCTGGCCAGAGACCGCTCTCATCTCAGCTGTCTCTCTGCTGGCTCATTATATAATGAAGCTAATGATACCTTCAAGGTATGCTCTAATTAATTATTCTTACAGACTCCAAAGATATAATTACTAATCATTATCACTATTAGATCATTAATTTCTTCATTTCTTTTACATAATTTTAATCAAATGCCAAAATTCAACACCAATTGCAGTTATTGGTGAATACTTTTTTGCCTATTATCTTCACAGCTTCTTTATGTTTATTTGACCCCATGATAAGCGAATTTGTTAAAATATGGATATTTAAAAGTTTCTTGAAAATATTTGGAAATCTGGAGTTCTAAGAAGAGGGAATGTCAAAATAAAAAGTTAAATTTTATATTGCCACAGATCATTGTAATTCGATGAAATAGTTAAATATTCGAGACCATTGATTTTTAAACCACATTAATTTCCTTTTTCTTCAAGGTGAACCCTATAATCTGGTCACTGGTAAATAATTATACCTAAGACTATTACAGTTTACCTAGATGTGCATTAGGAAAACCATGTGAACATAAATAATTTAGCAAACGACATGTTCTAAACTGTGCTTGCATTGTGCAGGTTTAAGTATGAAATTATTAACTTACTAAGAATCTTTTTTGTCAATTTCATAAATTCATAAAATGAATATGGCTGTGAGTTGAAAATAATGAAAAGGTTGGCATTGGTGGTTTCTATTCAGAGGCTTGTTTAATTTAGTATCTGAGCATCTTATTTTTGTAATTAGGTTATATGCTCCTTAAGATTAGAGATCATGGCCCAATGATGTGGCTTAGTGGTTGAGCTTTGACCTATGAAACAGGAGGTCACATTTTGATTCCAGGTCAGGGCACATGCCTTGGGTCTCAGCTCAATCCCCAGTGGAGGCAGCAGACCAATGATTCTCGTCATTGATGTCTCTCTCTCTCTCTCTGAAATCAATAAAAAACATACTTTTTTTTTTTTTTTTTAAAAAGAGAAGATATCATGTATTGTAGTTGCTCTGAAAGCAGAGAGATTGAACAAATGCTGGTTTATTACCTAGGACTCCTAACATATGTTGTTGTTGTTTTTAACCGTGACATAATCTATTACTGTCTGTGAGTCTTTGGACACTTAGGAAATTACATGCTGCCTCAGTTTCCCCATCTACAAATGGGAAAATGATAGATTCTCTGCTTTACAAGTCTCCTGTGAAGCTCCCATGAGGGTAACTCCATATGAGAGAGGGTAGAGAGCTAAAAGCTTGGTATAGGCTAGTGTTAACCCAGTGTCATTTTATAAGGTTGTTTTATTTCTAGACATAGGATTGCCAGTAGAGATACACATTTTGACCTTTCCCCCTCCATGTTTGCCTTGGAGACGATGCATACTGATAAGAGCTGAGAGTTGATGTAGCTGAGTTATTGTCACATGTTTCTGGCTCTTGTGGCCTCGCCTCTCCTGTGCTGGCCTTCCTGTGAACAGGGGCTAGATAACTGGCCTCTTTAAGTAAGTGCCAGTTATAGCATCTCCATCAGGGGACACAGTCCAAACATTTATTTTCTTTGCAAAAGGCACGTTTCAGTGGTGGAGTCTCTTTACTTCTGAAACCATCTCATTTACCTGAATGAGGAGCGCATATTTATTGTCAGGGCAAGCGGCGAGCTTGTATAATTCTTGTGTGACACATGAACCAAACACTCCGCTGTAAATTACACTTGGCTAGGAGAAGATGCTCTGGTATGAAAGCACGTTTCTGTCTTGCTTACTTGCTCTTCTTGGGTTGGGGCTGAGAGCTGGAAGATTGGCGACTCTTAGATTTATCTGGAAAACGAACAGTATTCTTTAGAGAAACCAGAAAGGGGTGAGTAATGCCATCTCTGTGTATTTATATAAAAATGGGGGTTTGGGGATGTGACCCAGGTCCAGCATTTGTCTCGCCAGGAGACTAAAAGTGTCACAGAACATGTCAGAGTGGCTTGTGGCATTACAGTTTATTTTCAAAAGCCTTTGGAGAACATAATTAAGCCTTTCCCTTGGTTTTATATCCAAGTTGCCCTTCACTGGTTACATTAATGTGTCACAAAGTGGGAATTTTTTTGTTGTTGTTTCTGTGAGCCTTCAGTCTCATAAAAATTAAATGTGTGCATTCCTGTAACCTGATATGGCCTCTCTAGTGAAAATCAATGCTTCTTGCCTGCGCTGCTCAAGCTGCAGGCTCTTATTATGGAGCCGAGTCCATTGTGTGCATCTGTGCATATGGCCTTTCGTCAACCCATGTTTTCTGATGTTTCTGAAACATATCTGAGACTTAAGCCCCACTACAGACAATCTGTTGGCCTGTGTTTAGCCTCCCTGCGTGTTTGCTAGAAAACATCAGAGGGTGTTTTTCACCCCCTCCCAAAGTTTTCTCTGGGGAGTGGGTACAGAATGGGGCCAGTTTATTACTCAGTTATGTATTATTCCTTTGGCTGAGGGTAGCAAGAACATCTGAAGAAAACGGATTGCCAGAGAGGTAGCAACATTTTAAACCAGTTCTTTTTCAGACTTAAATTATACTATCTTAAATGTGCTAAGTAAAAGCTTTATTTGCAGACTCATGATTTGCTGGTGTTTAAGTGCAATTAATCACTTCTTTCAACCAACCGGAGTTTCCATCACAGTTTTCTTCTAGGAAATAATCACATGCTGAATTTTAGCATCAGGTCCTGAGGTTCTCTAAGATTCTACTTGAACTAATCATTGCTTCTAGTAAGTGGGACCAGTCCAGCCTTTCACAGCAGTTGATTGTGAGATTTAAGTATGTGAAAACAAACGATGAACTATCTGTGAAGATTTTTTTCACTTGTTTAAGAAGGAGAATAAGTCCAGTCATGATTTGGTCTCCATTTTTACTTGGTAGTGCTGACTCCATAGGACAGTATCCCCCAGAGAACTCAGCTTTACTCACAAGGCCCCGCTGACATGGTGAGCAGGAAGGACTCCCCCATCCTGAATCACATTGGTGAGCACCTGTTAAGAGGTGTGACCAAAGACTTCATACTATTGTCTGTTCACATAGAGAAAATAATCATTGGATTTGATTAATGCCTACTCTATATTCCAGACACTATGTAAAATATTTTATCTATATACTTTTATTTAGTAGTTGTTATATCTCTATCCTGATGAGGGAGCTAAAGTTCAGAAAGGCTGAAGATTTTACCCAAGATCATGTAGCTGTAAGTGTCAGAGCCACTGTCCATATGTCCTAATCATTGCAGTATATACATATTTAGAAAAACTTGCAAGAGAGACCACCATTTCATCTTCGTCAGATGAAACCATCTGTATGGTGACAATACCATTGAATTCTTGGCTCCATAGATCTTCCCTCCATTACTTTCTACCAATACAAGATTCCTTTTAGTTATGTCACAAAATATTTTACTGAGTACCTACAAAATCCTAATTTTAGTGATCATTGAATTCAAGAAGTACGATAAAAGCACAGCTCATTTCACCTAACGATAGGAGATTTAAGGTGTAGTTGATAATATAATCTAACTAAATGAATTGCAACTGCAGTTATTATTAGTCATATCATTAGTAATTATATGTAAAGATACAGTGCTGTTAATTGTAAACAGTGTCATAACCTACTTCTTAAATGCAGCCACTCAAAATGATCATCAAATCTAGTATTCTTTACATGATTGTTTTTGGAATCATAATCCTATATTTGTTCTGAAACCAAAAAGAGAATAGACATTTGTGAGATTCAAGTCTGATAACTTTCAGGATCAGGGTGAATTTACAAATACTGGCATTCATCCCTGCATGATATTTTCCAGTTATCCAAAAAGGCTTTTATTCAGAAGCCATTTGTGGTTGGGATGCATTGTGATGCATCATTTATGCACTGCCTTAAGTGTTTATTGGGTAGAGTGTGCAAGAGACAAAGCATGAGAGTCCTGCTTACAACCCTTGCTACCTAGAGACACATTTGCTGATATGTAATAAAATTTCATCCAAGAGCAGATACTGCTTAACTCATTCATTTCTAGTGAGCTGAAGTTCAGATCTCCCTTTAATGTTTAACCCCAAATATGCTGATTTGTATTTTCACTTCTAGGAGACACTCACACTAAAGAGTATGTTTTGCACTCTAACAATGGGATAGAATGAGGAGGTGGACTCTACCAGAAAGCTGCCATTTGGGGGTGGCTCTTGAGGATGGACTAGAGATCACAGAGTCCAACTTTTCATCATAAAGAACCTCATTTTTGTCCGGTGCTTTTGTATTTGAAAGATACTTTCTTAATTAATATAAATTAATTAATTTTCTTTTAAAATTGAAGACATTCATAATTGTCAATCATAAATTGTGATAAATATGAGGTGACTGATGTTGCCATACCGAATAAAAAAATTTCCAGCCAAAATTTGAGAAAGTTGGCATTTTACTTGGTATGTGAGAGGTTTTTGGTGCATGACTAAGTGTTTAAATATATAGTAAGCTTTTGGAAATGCTGAAAATAGAACTGATCTCTGTTATTACTTTTACAGACTATGTAGGAATCCAGAGACCCCCAAGTGGGGAGCAGTTGGATTTAGCAATTGCCATAAATTCCCTTCTACTTCTAACATTCTATGATTTGTGAATACCATTAAAATGAATAAAATTGACCAGTTACAAATGTATTTCCAACAGTGAGTTTTGAAATCTAGGTTCAAAATTTGTGGAAGGTTGGGGGAAAGGTACATATAGATACCCCCAAAACCTGGAGACCAGGGTAGGGATGTGGGAATAGCTGTGCTTTGGTGTGTCCCACAACTTCCCTTGGTAAACAACCCAAAGTAGCAAGGTGTATGTTGTCATCCTTGACTACAGACAGTTCTACTTGTGATAAAAACAAAAATAAAAACAAAAACCAGACTCTTCATGTGATGTGGTCTTTATACTCAGAGTGGATCTTACAGTACTCTCTATCACAGGCCTCACATTGTAGACAGAATAATCTGGAAAACCAAAGTTGACCTAGCCTTTTTTGCATTTCAATTGCCCATGGGGTCAAATTTAACCTTCTTGGCTTGATGTACAAGGTCTTTGACAATGATCATAATCTACACCTGATTCCTCTCCACATATGTTATGAACTTGCTAAATAATTTTTAATTATACTTGCAACTATTAGACCTTTCATAAATGCTTGCCTTTATGCATATTATTTTGCTATCCGGAATATTCTCTCTGCTCAATCTTTGTTGGATACATTTCTAATGTCTGGCTAAGATAATTGCACTTAAGTACCAGGCACTCATTTAATTTTCACAGTGATTTGGTTGCTATCATCAGTGCCACTTTGTGGAGAAGGAACTTGGCCTGGAGAGGTTAAGTAAACTTTCCCAAGTCACATAGCCAGTAGATGCTGGAGCCAGGATTTGAACCTGTGCAGCCTATCAATTCAGGACCTAAACTCTTAACCCCCATGCCAAGCTGCCTTTCCCCTAAGATAGCACCTCCAGGGGCAAAGTCTGTCCCAAACCCCTCACATAGAGTCAGCTTTTTTGTTCTTAGGATTCCCAAAGTGCTTTCTAAAGCATCCTTATAATAGAATTTGGCAAGTTGAATTATTCTGTCTCTCTGTGCCTTTGTAATTGTGAGTAATTTTGAGTAATCATTCAACTTCATATGCTCAAGACCTAGCAAAATGCTTGCTACCAAGTAAACACTTAGTAGAATGAATGAATGAATGAATGAATGAATGAACGAACGAACGAACAGACAGATACAGGAGCACTTGTCTGTACACAGGTGGGTCAGGATCATCTTTCCTTCTAGGACATGCTCCTGGGATATTAGTTGAAAAACCCTTCCAATAGATTTTACTGTCTCAGGGGTGCAGAACATTCCAACAGGAAACGTAGAGCTCTCCGTTGTCATCTTCACGGGACAGTAAATAATTTTCAAATCTTGCTAAGATGTCTGTGAATTCTGCTGAGTATCCATGTAGCACTCCAGTCTGACAATGTTGATTTATGTAAGTATAGGTTTGGTGCTCTGTGAGAGCTCACCATCTGCTTAAGTTGTGTTTACTTTAAGTACCAGTCAGCATTTTCCTGACGAGTTATAGAAGCATGGTAGTTCAATTTAATTTTTAAGCAAAGTCTGTTTAAGAATAATTTGTTAATTACTAGTTGGTTGATTTTGTTTCCTTAAATTAAGGGTTTCAGTTAATATCACATGCTTGTTGCCAGCCACCATCGTGGTGCCCACAGTAGCATGGTATATTTTAGTCCCATTCTTCTATGCCAGCCCATAATCCAGCTTTTAAATTCATCTTTAGCTAATTTCATAAGTCTGGAAAGTAGTTTGATGGTTTATTGGCTTTAGGGTTGCGAGTTGGAAGCTTAATTTAACAGATACTTATAAAAAAATTTAGGCAGAAATTGATTATTTCACCTTCAATATAATGGGCCACACAGAGCCCTTGCATCAAAGCTGATTCTTCAAAATACAGAATTGGAGTTAGCACCATTTGGGCTGAAGGTGTTTGATCAACTGCACACAAGACATGATCCAAACCTGTGGATGGCTTGGAGCCCAGTGATTTTTTTTTTTTTAATATAAGAAAGGAGACATTTGGCAGTCTATTATTGGGAGGTTTGCAGAGGCTGGCCATGGCCAGCCAAAGAGAGCACATTGGTTGGGTGACTGTAGATGTGTAATGGTTTTGTAAATGTTTTGGTTTCAATAACATTTCAAATGTATTTTATCAATGCATTTCCCCTTTAATTTTTAGAGTTCTGTGTATTTCAAGGGAAATCTAGTCCATATGTTTTTGATTCATTTATATTTAACTCATCAAAACGTTGTTTTCTAAGAGTTATTTGATGTCCACAAAGACTTTAGAGTTTGATTTAAATACCTTCCAATGTTCTTTATCCCTCTTTTTTAAAAATAGAAAGCCATCTACTCTTGGCAAAACCTAAATTCACATACACCAAAAGTTTGCATTTGTTTGAAAGCTCCAAGCCCATAAAGCCATTCAGCTGGGCCAAATGCGTTCTCCAGCTCATGGTAATGTGTGAGCTCCATTACTCAGAAGCACAGAGTTCTTTACCTTTTGATATCTCTGGTGTTCATGGAAAGAAACTCTAAAAAATAAATTGTCTGCCCTTTGCTAGATCTTTGATCTTGGGAAAGCTACTTAAGCTTCCCTGGCTTCAGTTTTCCTATCTGTAAAGTTGGGCCATATTTGTCTTGCCTACCTTCCCAAATTATTGAAAGGATTAAAATAGCTAATTTTAAAGTACTTTGGAAAACACAAATATCTCCACAAATAAAATCACATCTCTTTTCTTGATGATATTTTTCTTTATAAAATAATAAATATTCAACCTTAATGAATGCTTGTTATTTGCCAGGCATTATGTTAGACATTCATTCTATAAATGTCTATCTTATTTAATCTTCCTCATACCTGGTAAAGGGTAGATACTCTTAATTTATACATTTTGGGAAGATGAAATTTGGTGTAATTTGCCCAAAGTCTTATAGTTTGCGAGTGGAAGAGCTGGAATATAAATCCAGACCTTTATGAGTTTTAACCACTAACTTGTATAGTATATGATTGGAGCCCTTATAATGACTATAATGTTGTGATTCAATATTAAAGTTTATCTTGAGTCATAACTGAGTCTTCCATATTATTAAGATCACTTACAGTGTCATCAATTGTGAGCCCAGTGCCTGGCATATATCTGCTTTTTGAAATATGGTAAACAGTTAATGCTCAAAAAATGCTGGTTCCGTTTTCCATAATTCTTCTTAGACAAGTCTTCTTTTTCACATCTGATAGGTGCAGTGGTATGTCCTTCTGGGACTGATACCTCAAAAGGGTGATAATGTTTTCCAGAGGGAATTGGAACTCTGAAGTTTCCCCTCATACATGTTTGTTCTTTTAGCTGCTACAAACCTACAA